AAAAAATCCAATCATTGTTGGCGTTTTGTACGTGATATTGATTTATATGATCGTATTCCATATACAAATGAATTTTTAATTTATCTTCGCGATGAATTTTCTCGTTTAACAGCATTAACATTACGATGGAAATTTGATTTAATGATTTCATTACCATTACTAACAACATGGTTTTGTTTACCAACTATTCGTCGTTTGACAATAAAATCAACTCATTTACAAAATCCGGAAATAATTAAACAATTAATACTTTGCTTACCTAATTGTAATACATTAGATTGTGATTATGTTTTAATAGCACGAGCAACATGTTATTTTCGTCCAGGACATGCATTAAATGAATTCGGTAAACGATTACGTTTATTATTAGTCGATGAACTTCCGGCGAATTGGAAAATTGAAAAGAAAAAACGCAAGAACTTTTATTTTCATCGATTTCGACTGTTTTTTCCAAATATTGAATGTCCTTTGTATAATTAAATAAATGAATCAAGGATACAAATTTTTTTATCTATTATTAAGGAAATGTTATAGTTCAAGGATGGAACCTAATGAATAATCAGATATTATACAAGCGGAGTGAGAATTATATTTGGTATGAAAAGAATTTCGAAGATGGTATTTCTTTTTCTGGGGAAATATCGTGACTGGTCTGTTTATTTAGTATTTCATCTGACTTACGACCTACAAGTATGCTATTTTTACGCGCAATAAGAAATAAATCTTTGTGAGTTACTTCAAACTATAGATGAATTGAATCCTCATATATAGTAGATCGATAAATGGTATTCAGATTTTTATAGATGGAATATGTCAGTAATGGGATCTAAGATTTTGGAAGGGGGGGGACGATTTCGGCTAAAATCTATTTTTTGAGTCCAATTGAAGTAGTGTGAACCTGTTTTTTCGTTCATTTTTGTTGTAAAATCGAAAAATTTTTCTGAAGGGTGGCGATCGTCCCCCCCCTCTCCCCTAAATCCGCTACTGGAATGTGTTAATTGTTCTCGTACTTCATTCATTGCCAAAATAGTCACAGCTACATCAGTTCTGTTGAGGACAATTAGTTTATCCGTTGTTTACTCTCGTTTCGTATGACTGGAAGGGATAGATGAGGTTATCTATCAATAATTAATCATTCAAACAATTGATTTTTTATTTGAATCATAGCATCTTAGCCCATAGAGTACATGCATTTATTTTTCTCTAGGTGTTAATATGAATCATTTGTTATTGTCAGTCAAATAAATTCATCGTTATCGTAAAGCATATAATCACAACTGGCATTTTTTCGCTCGATGAATCATTATAGTACTATTTATTTTATTCCTTTTTTTTCTACGATTCAACATTTTCTTTTTCGGTATATATATGTATATACGTAGAATTTTTCTTTTTCGTACTCATAGTGTATTTATATCAAGGCTATTATTCGTTATTACCAATTATATGGTTTAACATATAATAATTTTTATACACATTTTCTTTCAGATTTTTTTAAAAAATATGGCTAATATTCGAATTTTTGCATTATTATTAATTGTCATGATGATCATCAATTGTACAATGGTTGATGCTAGATATCATGAAGGTTCTATTAGTCGCAGTAAAAGGTAATTTAAATGTTGTATAATAAATATTTTTTTTTAAATTAACTAAATATAGACTTTTTGGTTGTGCTAAAGTTCACAAGAGTTGTACAGGTGTTTTCAGTAAATCATGCTGTTCTGGTACAGTATGTAATACAACTATTGGAAAATGTGTTCCTAAAGGCAATCCAATTTCGTGGCTTGGGGATCGAAATGGAAAATAAAGAAAACAATATATACACTTTCTTGTTTGTATTATTAATTAAAATAAATGAATAAATATATACATATATAATCAAGCTGAATATGAAAATAAATAATAAATTGATTGACATTACCATATGCGCAAATACGAGAAGATCAAGAGTAATTTGAGAACATTTAAATGAACCTAAGATTGATCGAAACAGTTGTGAATCAACCGATGTCAATTTCTATACAGTACATATCGAATTAAAATAACGAAGAAAAATTAAAATTCGATCTGCATGTAAATATTGATAACAAATAAATTCTCCGATAAGAAAAGATTATTCAGTTTTGAGTAAGATTTATAAAGCAATGATAATTCTTTCAAGAATATTTATTATTATTGTTCATGACGCTATTCAAGGCTTGGCTTGGCAGCGAATATTATCGTAGTAATGACAGTTTAAGAAAGTGAAATTGAATTTTGTTGATTTTTCTATAGAAAAAAAGTGAACGAAGACGTTTATAAATTTAGAATAACTATATTATTTCTTACATTTATCGCATGATCTGATTAATAATATTCATTTGTCTAACTAACCGATAATAATCAGGATGTAGGTGTTGTTCTTTCAATTCATTTTTAAATTACCGTATTTTGTCTATATAATTACGAGTCTGCAATGAACAGTTCTAGTACTTTTTTTGTTTTATCTGTTCATGTGTTAGAAAATGATTATAGGATAATTATCATGTTCTACTTCTTTTGTATCATTAGCGATATAGATTAATGGATTAAAAATAACTGCTTTTTTTCGCATCTATCATTCAATGATAGTGAATAATAGAAGGTGTAATTTATGAGAATGAGTTATGTATTGAATATTGATTTCGATTTTGTTATATATATATTTTTTTTCGTTTAAATAATCGAGGATTCTATCGAAAGAAAAGAAAACCTATCTAACAAATAGTCTATCAACTTAAGCAAACTCAAATGGCTTCGTTTATATATTAATGAAGTCGAACGGTATGTAAATATTTACTTATATATTTGTTAACAAATATCTATCGATAAATGTTCATTATAAAATGACGTAAATTAGTCTTGCTACAATTTATTATCGAAATAAATACGATGAAGTTGATAATAAATTACTTATCAAAGCAATAGTATTCAAAGAATTATCGCGGGATGTATGTCCGGATATAATCTTCCGTTTCTCATGTCATGACCTCCATCTATACCCACACTCTAAATATACAGGATAATAATTTCTATCATTTTTTACTATTAATATCAATACAAGTTACACAGGACAGCTGATTTTACAATCGTATTCTCTGTATTGAAAATCCACACCCATCCTACTAAAATCTATTGAACAAATAAAACAAAATTATGTGCATAAACGTATAGACATCTTATCAATCAACACATTCCGAAAAACACTCTTCAGATTTATTTCGATAAAAATTTTAAATTATACACTCAATTTGAATCAATCGAGCAATAAGATTTATATTACAGATATCATACAAAAAATTCAAATTGACTATCGAGATACTTATCAGTATTTCAATTGACAGATTATGTATTTATCATAAAAATTCTAAACTATTTTTTTTAGTTAGTCTTCATCCGACATCTATATAGTATTAAAGAAATTATTTATTAGTTAAACTAAACAGAAAGAAATTCAGTATAATAGTCTAGTCAGTTGTATATGTATATAATATAATACTTCTTTCATTTTATTTATTTCTATTCTTTTAATACTAAAAAAATGACCGAACGTCTTGCCCATGATCATTCTCTTCCAGTCAATGGTGATCATAAAAATGAATATCTTTTTGATGCTGATTTACTTCAATCAATTTTTAAACAATATTTATTAAAAGATCATAAATTGGAAGGAAATATTTATGATGGAAAATATTTAATTCGACCATTATCACTTAAAGATTATGATCATGGTTATATTGATTTACTTCGTCAATTAACTGAATGTGGTAAAATATCATATGAAGAATTTCAAGAACGTTTTTATGAAATGAAACAATGTTCAAATACATATCATATACTTGTTATTGAAGATATGAATTTAAATAAGAAAATTATTGGTACAACAACACTTGTTTGTGAAAAAAAATTTATTCGTCAATTAGGTGTACGTGGTCGAATTGAAGATGTTGTTATTGATAATGAATATCGTGGACAACAACTTGGAAAATTACTTGTTGATTTATTAACAAAATTAGCAAAAGAAAAATGTGATTGTTATAAAATTTCATTAGAATGTAAAGATAATTTAATAGGTTTTTATAAACAATTTGGTTATGATCATGAAGATAAACAAAATTATTTATGTCAACGTTTTCAAAAATAGTTATTTTTTTTTTCGTATTTATATCGGTGCTTTATAAACTTTTAAATAAATTATTCATATCCAAAAAAAGAGTTGTAAAACTAAATGAGATGCAAAAAAACGAGAAGGATCAAAATAAATTGCTTAAAAGGTCGAACATAGTTATTTCTGCTTCATTGCATACGTTATACTGAAATATATTATATAATCCAAGACAAAGAAAAAGCTCCACGATAGCAAAAAAAATGATCTTGGTCATGCTTCATTACAAATATTTGATGATTAATATTGAAGCATTTAGAAAAGATAAAAAGCTTATCTGGTAATTTACTTTTGTTCATGACATGAATTTTAATAATTGATAGAGAAAAAAAAGTTCATTTCATATCATGTCAATGAACTCGGATAGAAGGATGAAAGATGTCTGTCATTTATCTTCTCTGTATACGTATCATAACGTATGACAATTAACATCTTTTCATCACGCTACAGACATCTGATATATCAAAAAAAAAAGATGTTGATAAAACCTTCTTGTTTATCATAACAACACATCCATTATATTTCACACTTTTTATTTCACTAGTTATATATTGATCAATTTTTTCTTCTTCATATGGTATCTATCAATCGCAGGAAGAAGAAGAAAAAAAACAACACAAATAATATATTCGTTTCAAAGTAAATATAGCAATCAAATGAATAATTTAGTTTAATAATTCGCATTTTTTTTTCTCTCTCTCTCTTCATCTCAAGTTTATATCCACTAAAAGAAAATAGTACCAATAATTATGTATATATGTGAATATATATAAAACTATTCATTGATCACTGTACACATATATATGCACTCCATATCGTATCTGGTCGATATAGTTAAATATATTAAGCGTGAGTACGTGTCATGTACACTTCATCTCATTTTGATTAAATGAGAATATATTCAATGTATGTACGTGAGTCTATATGTGAGGTATATAATGATCGGATAATGAAAGGCTATTCGCTTGTATATAGGCGTGTGTCGAGACACATCAAATCGACTATAGTGAAAAGAATGAATATGCACAAACATATCGTAAGCATACATAGTGATACTAATCTTTTGATTGTAAAACATACAGTTTTTCTTTTTGTTTCTTCTCTCTAGATAAATTTACTTTTGTTCATTGATATATATATATATATAAATTCATTGTATTTTATACTCATCAATGATTATCGAAGTTCAAGGTAGACTAGATAAGATCTCGAGTCTAGTTCAGTCAGTATACTACCTTATTTATGAGTGACTTTTATCAACACGGAAAAAAGAATAAAGTGTTGATAAGGAGATGAATAAGTATATGTATAATACGTATACACATGTATATCCACATACTGAACGTCCCTCAACACAAAGTTTCTTACGACGTAACCTTTATATATGTTGCAATTCAACAAACCATTAATGATTAAGCAGCCGATGAGAGAAAAGATAACTAGACAATAGACAAAGAGAGAACGAGAAGGAGAAAGAGCGATGGATGTAGAGAAAGAAGAAAGAAAAAAAAAATCTGTCGGACATTACTCATTATAATACAATGTTGTCAGTATGAGCGAGAAAGAAAAATAAAATAAAAGAACATACAGCTTACTATCTTAAATACTTACACACATTCTTTTAGTTTCAGCCTTTTTAAGACTAGACAATTATTATTATTATTCATGATGGTATGTTGATTGATTGAATGAGAATTTGTTTATAAGAAGAAGAAAAAAAAAGCAAGGCCATCAATTCATTAGGAGTTTATCAGTTCGACTGTTTATTTCTTTTCTTTTTTTTTCTATATATTCTTTTTTTCCCCAATAAACATTCAACTAATGAACTTTTCACACACGCTTAAATTCAATCCATTAAAGTGCATTCTTGTGCGGTGAACTGAACATCTATTATATAGGAAAAGAAAAGTAGATCATAATTTAACCGTAAAATATATAGTAGCGTTCACCATCGGTCATTTTTTTTCTTCTTCTTCTTCTTCTTTCTATATGTCATGCGTGAAGTAATACCTATTACTTCGTTATGAATTTTCACACTCAACATTACATCATACCATTGACGTTGTTTCGATAAATTTATACGTATTCATATATAAAGACGCTGAGATATCTAAGCAAGTCGACTTTTTTTTCTCGCATTCTAGATACAAAATTGTAATAAATATGTATCATCGAATGTATTTACGTCGATGTTCAATGTCAAGTATAAGTGAAGAATCTGAAACAGGTGATGATGATCAATCTATAAGACATGATGATAATATTAATCAACAACCAATTAAATTAAATGTTGAAAATTGTCTTGGAGATTTAAATGTTTTCAAAGAAGTAAGCTTTTTTTTTTAAATAATAATTTTCTTTAAAGATGTTAATAGATTAATAAAACTAACACTTATTTAACTAATAGATATGTCTATTTCGATGATATATATTATCATATTGTATGCATAATAAATTTGTAAATCTAGCTTTCACCTGGTACCATTAGCTTATCAACATAATGACTTAGAAGACCTTGTTAACATCAGTTACCTTGAAAACATAAGGCAATCGAAGAATAAATCTATCAGCGAAAGTCATCTGATTTTATATTTGTATTAGTACCATATGAAGGACAAATGTTTAATATTATACATATATATATACTCTCTCTCTCTCTCTAATCCTATTTCAATTAAATTTTAGGAAATTCGAGAAGCTTATGAAGAACTATCAACATTAGAACGGCAAGCTCGAAGTAAAGCAGCAGTAGTAACATCACCACTAATATTAAATATAAATCAAGGTAATTGTTTCTTTATCTCAAGAAAAAAAAACTAAATAATAATAGTTAAAATTTTTTGTTTGATATTTTCAATGAATAAAGTAATCTATACTTAAAAGATTGAACTTAAACAATTTCGAAAGGTTATTGTAAGAAATCAATTAAAACATGATTAGTTTTTATCTTTAGAAGACGATCTTGACATATTACTTGATCAACTTCAAACACTTGAACAACGATTAGATGAAAGAAAATTATTTCATAATGAAATTGATTCATATAAAAAACGACCGATGTCATCGAAACTTATTGCACAATTCGATGAACTTGATCATACATTAGCAACATTAACAAATACAATAAAAAATGTTGAAATTGAATTTACCGATTCTGGTAATAGTTCATCATCATCAGCAACAAGTGATTCAACACGTATTCATCATCAATATGAAAATGATGAACATTTTTCTGATAGTGGTTTATCTCAATCAACTGATTCAATTAATTTACCATTAATAAGTCAACAAATATCAAATGCATCTAGTGTATGAGAAATATTTCAAATAATAACAAATAAATTCTTTTGTTTCTCTCTCTTTCAATAGGTTATTTCATGTGATACTATAAAAAATACATGTGATGAAAATGAAATACGTTTAGCATTAGAAAAAATGCATGAAGCAAATATAAAAAAATTATTTGTTAAAATTCATACGGAAGATCAATCAACAAAAAATATTTTAATTGATGAAACAATGTCCATCTATGATATATTAATATTACTTTTTCATAAATATCATTTAAAACCAACATTAAATTATTCAATTATTGAAGATTTAACTGATTTACATATTTATCGTATATTTGAAGATCATCAAAATTTAATTAACGATGGATTAATTTATTGGTCACGTGATACACATAATCGTATATGTTTTCAAGAATATAAAAATAAATATATGATTTTTCAAGAACCAAATAAATTCTTCTCAAGAAATAATTCGGACGATATTCTAACAGATTATATATCATCCGATACAATTAATCTACCTGATAATATAACAAGTATACTTTATATAAAAGATAAAAATCGAAAAATCTGGAAAAAATATACATGTATTTTACGTCAATCGGGTATATATTATTTACCAAAAGCTTCATCATCAAAACGTGATCTTATTTGTATATTAAAATTTGATTCAAATATACAATTATATTATGCTAATAATTGGATTGAAACATTACGTTCACCCACATCATTTGGTTTTGCTTTAAAACATGTACATATACAAAAAAAATCAAATAAATATATACATTATTTATGTGCAAATACTTATGATGAATACCAACGATGGATAAATGGTATTCGAATTATTTTCTATGGCATACAATTATATAAAAATTATCAACAAATGACAAAAGTTGTTGATCAAGGTTTTGATAATCTTATTAATATTTTACCTACTCAACATCAAATTAATTTTCTTACAACAAATTCATTATCAGTTAATCAATCCGTATCAAATATATCTTTACCGATTAATCAAATTGTTTTAGATTCAATCGATTCACATAAATCACTTATTGAAATTGACAGTATACCTGATATATATACATCATATTCATTAGGTATGTTAGTTAGATTAACAAAAATCTTTGATTCAGTTAAGTGAGCTCCAAATTTGGAGTTTTTCGATAAATTGTAACTATGTGCTTTTTTTGCTTGAGCATCACCAATCGACTTAGTACAGTCCAGAGTATCTATTAGAGCAATCAAAAACAGGCGATTACTGTTTTCATTTCTCGAAAACTTAGGCATCCGTAGACTGCAAATCTTTGTACTTAAAGTCTAGAAACGATTTATAATAGATAATAAGATTATGACATAAGGGAAAAGTATTAGTATGATAAATGACATTTATAGTTTATGAGAAATTATTATCATTTTCTATAGCAGATATACGAACTGAAGATAAATCTCTAGTGAAATATGTGTATGAGTTTTTACCTTATCGAATGCTGATAAATAGGATACTTATAACTCTATTTATTGATATGATCGCTATTATTTCTTAAACTGCAAAATAGTTTTTCATTTATTAATTAAGTCTAATTGATAAACAGTGTTTTCTTTTGCATATTCTAACAATTACTCCGTATGTGTAATCTGTCTGCCGTTATAATCAACATGTGGTTTCGATAATTAGAACGTCTACGAAGCGAGAAAACTGCAGACAATCGTAGAAACTATATATCATCTTACTAAAAACTTACGACAATTATTACTATCTTATTACATAGAAATAGAGCTTATCTTTTTTGAAAATACCACGATCATGTATCCTATAGTTTCTAGTATGTTGAAGATAATGATTGTACAACATGAATAGGTTATTACCTAAATAGTATGTTGGTTATTATGGATACATAAGTGATTATACTGATCAAAGAGAAACATGACAGTTGTCTTTGTTCTGCCTTGCAATTATATTGAGCGTGGTAATCATGAATAGAAATAACCAATAAAATAAATATTACAACGATCGGATGTTAACAGAAGAAAACTTCGTTGTCCAAAAGATTTCATCAATGTTATAGCTAATCTACATTCTGTCGCGTAGGAGGATTATGTATGAATATGATATCTGATAAGATGATACGTACGAGTTATAGTAAAAACAAAAAATTGTCAATAAAAAACTATTATAAAATATTCATGATCAGTTTAGAGGCCTTCCGTTCCGTGCTCATTATTGTTATTCATACATCTCGTGTAGTATAGAGTACACAAGCGTTCATTTGAATATTGTTATGCTTATTAATTTATGAATAGATCGTTTGAAACCATCAAAAACATCATTTATACGTTCAACATCATTTCAATCGACTTTACGTCATCCTAAAACGAATAAATCCGAACAAAAATTATCTCGTATTAAATCAACACCATTACCAACCATTGATATTTCATTAATAAATAATGATAATATGATTCTTAAACGTTCGAAATCAACAAAAGAAATTGCTTCACGATCATTATCAGTAATACAACGTTCAAAATCAAATAAAATTTCTTCATCATCATCATTTATCCCATTTATTAATCAATGTATACAATCAGATAGAACACCAGTTCGTATAAAACCACCAAAACGATCTCCACCACCTCTTCCACCAAAACAATCGCCAAGTATCAGTAATCATATATATGATTCATTACATGACAGTCCAATTCTAATGCATGAAGACAATCGAACAGTGTCTACTACTCCTCGTATACATCCTTCTCCACGAGTAACTGAATTATAAAGAAAAATTTTAACATAATGTTATCGACCGGTGATCTATATATGCGCGCATTATTAGTATCAAAACCAAAGTGTCTCTTAATCATTGTATATTATCCATTTTAATACGATGGGTTTTCCAAAAATTTTCCATCTAAATATATATCAATTATCATTTCATAAACTCATTTATGTTTTCGTGTATAATTTTCAAAAATAAAATCTATCTTGATATAGTTAAGAATATTGTATAATTTCTTCTTCTTTTTTTTTTTTATTATATCATTAATATATTTGAAGTAGCACAACAAGACAAAAAAAATTATACAAAGCAAAGAAATAGAGAGATTAAAGACTACACATTTGTTTGTTTTTCTGACAATACGAAATGACTAATGAAACAAATTAGATAATAAGATCTGTAGATGCATATAAATTAAAGAATTATTGTCCGTTTGCACATTTGATACTGGAAACAATTCATTCAACAGACATTAACAGAAGATTAGAATTTGTTTATATATATATACACAGAAAAATTTGATTTATTAACTGTTTATACGTGGACTTCGTCGTTGTATACGTGTCTGTTTACAACTACTTGGTACAACGAATAGATCAGTATATGAAGGTAAATGATCATCATTGGTTAAGTCTAAAACAGAAGAAAAAAATAATTAAAAATTAGATTTAACAAAAAGATCTTTCAAGGTTAATAAAACAACCTTGCGAAGTGCTTAATCATTTTTTATCTATAGACTTACCTAATCCTCCTAGACTCTATTTTCTAATTGTCAATTTACTAATATAGAAAAAATTTTCTCCACAAAGATTCTATCTCATAATACATAGTAGATTAACTATATGTTAAGTCTAACGAAAAATATCCTTGTATTAGCCAAGGATTGATGTTATGTGTTAGATCTTAGATATCCTAATATAAAAAAGCAGGGTGTGCATGAAATAATATATCCACACCCTAAAAGATTCTTGCGAACTAATAAATTTATTCGCTGTATTTAGAGAGTTATTTATATGTATTATTCAGTGTTTTATCTAGGTTTTTCCTTCCGAGAGTGCGATAGTGATTTCCGGGAGGGCGAAAACCTCATTTCTGGAGGGTTAATACATAGTATAAGCACGAAAATTGCAATTTTTGGGAAGGCAAAATCGTTCTTCGATAGGGCGCCGCCATCCCTTCCCTCCTTCTAGATAAATCACTGGTATTATTTACTTTGAAATTGATTGTTATGTGGAGTAATAGGTGTCATCATTACTGATTCATGTTGAGGTGTTTGAGCACTAGCCATTGCTGATGCTGAAGGAGGTGGTATCGAAGGATATTGTGGAATAACTTGTGCATTTTGTTGTCGTAATGATTGTCCATGTGAACGAGCAGCTGCTTCAGTAATTTCAGGTGAATAAAGTGTACCTAAAAAAAGAATAATCATAAATATTGATATAGGAGAAAGAAAAGTTTTACTTGACAGAGGTAATTGATTAGTAAGGAATTTTGGTCGCTTTACATTAGGTAGTAAAGATGAATCATTTGGTGCTGTATCAAGCATAATACGTAGCATTGTATCAATATCTTTTCGTGCTTGTGAACTTCTATTAGCAAAATCTGGTAGACTTGTATTTGTATCAGTTCCATCATGAGGTAATTCATCAATAAAATTCTAGTACAAACAAACTTTTATATACGAAAAATAAAGAAATCTTCTTATTAATTACTTGAAGTTTTTCAAGTATAGCTGTTTGAATTCGAAGATTATACAAACCAATATCACAATAAGATGATAAACCATGTTTCAATTCTCTTGTAGCTAATTTTTGATGTTTATGCCATTCAGTTTGAACTAAAATCATAAAAATAGAAATAATAAGTAACGATATTTATTCAAACCTTTATTGAATAATTGTTTTTTTGTATGATCAGAACAATGATTTGTAATAGATTCTTCAAATACAGATTTTGTTTTATCAAAATCATTTGAAAGATTATTATTTAATTTTTGTAATGATTGCTGTAGTGAATTCATTGCATATTCTATATTTCAAATGAATACATTTTATATATTATTAGTAAAATTCTACTTACCATTATATATTCGTAATGATAATTGTTGTCGCATGGCTAATGAATCAATTAGACTACTGATTTCCTAGAAAAAATTCAAATTATTTTATTTTTTATTATTATTTTATATACTTGAAGAGATTTACAATCTGACAATTGTCCAATATCATTTATCAATCGTGCAACTAGATATATAATTTAAGATTAAAATACAAAATAAAAAGATTTATGATTACCATGTATTGATGAATCAGGACTATCGAGATTTTGTTGTGAAGATTTTTTCGTTCGATTTATTTGTGTAATTGCTGTTTGTAATTTTTTACGATATTTTAATGTATTATTTAAAAGAATTTCATTAGGTTCATTTAATCTTTGTGATCTTCTTCTAAGAAAAGAAAATTATTTTCAAAAGATTTTATACTTTTTATATCCTTACGAAAATCTTTTTCGCCAAGTAGACATTATAAATTGATTTATTAACAGGAAAAAAAGGTTATCTATCTATATTTTCCAATTTCGTTCGTTCAAACAAAGAATAGATGTTATAAGATATTTGATTAGTGGAAAATTTTCACCAATGGGAATTCAAGCGCCACAATCAATTACCTATAAATGAAAATATATATAAGAAAAGAGAAAATATTTTTTACATATAAAAAAGATTTATTTTTAAAATTTTATTTTTTTTTCGAAATAAATTTTTATACCTGATTGACGATTCAAGTGACAGGTAAGAAAAGTTCATAATTTCAATTGAATTCTCAACATGGCCGCTGTCAATTCACGGTACACAGATGACCTTCGACCGGTGATCGTACATTGCTTTCTTTTTAAATATAGCTGTTAGAATATAGCTCGATTTCATTGAACATTAGCGAAAGATACGTACTATATGGGTAAAAATAGAATTCCTTTCGACCTTGAAGAGAAAAAAAACGTTTTTCTATACCTATTAATTATGATATGCGAAGAAGTCAATGATTTATTTGTTTAGATTGAAAGAATATCTCAATGAGATATGTCCTATTCATACAATCGATTTTTTTTATAGATTTTAACATATCTGTATTATATTTTAGATTCTTGGTCATGGGCCTTTTTATACATTTTTGTGTCTCACTTTTCCTTTGTATACTTTTCTTCGATAAAAGTCGTTCTCAATTCGAATGGATATCATATGATAAAATTGATGAAATAATGGATCGGGTGAATTCTGTAAGTGCTGGTAATTGTTTTCAAAAACAACCAAGTGAATTGGTATTACCTGAAGAAGCAGTTTATCAGAAACCATCTATTGAAATGCTTAAAAAAGATATTATTATGAGAAATCGAACACAATTGTTACATGTTCGAAATATTGCACATCGAAATGCTCTTCTATATAGTTATTTATTTCAACGTTTATTTGATTTTGAAGAGCCTGGTCTTACCTATATACTTTTACATAATGCTGGTAAGATAATAAAAATATATATAAGAATGAAGAAAAAATGGAATTCTCGTTTATTTTTCTAGCTGATGTAACTGGTGGACGAAGTATGATAAATGGTTCAGGAATTTATTTTGATCAAGATAAATATTATCCACATTGGTATAAGAACTTTTTCAATAAAACTATTCCATTATTTGGACCCTATGCTTGGCGAGCTGATGATTTCTATGGTAATATTTTTTCATTGTTTAAAATTGAGATCATTTTTTTGTATTATTATATTAACAGATGCATTTAATTGGAAAAATGAATGGACAAATCATACTATTCAAGAAGAAGATATTGGTGCTGGTAGAAATCATCAATATACATCACGATATAATCGTGGAAATGAATGGTATAGTAAATGGTTACCAGATCAAACACGAAATGATCAAGGGCGAGGTAAAGTAGTGATAGATGCTAACGATATCATTTAAATGAATTGTTTTTCTTTTATTTTCTAGGTAAACCAGTACATACAGTTCAATTATTATTAGCTGAACGAATGTATAAACTGCGTGATGTAGCACAAAATATTGAATTTTATGGACCACCACATCCAGAAGATCCGTCAGGTCCTACACTTTGGACACGTCCATATTTTGATTGTGGTCGATCAAATAAATGGATAATTAGTGCTGTTTCACCTATTGTTGATATATATCCACGACATACTGAATATCGACATTTACAATCTATGCGTAATTTAGCAGTAGCTGTGACAGATATTGATTTTATCATGATGGATATTAATCAATGTGCTGAAAATGGTCAAACAAATGCACAATCAAATGATCCACAGTCAAAACAACCAAATTTATTCGCTGGTACAGATAAATGTAAACCAACAACACGTTGTGAACCATTGTTTGGCTTTGGGTTTCGCCGTGGTGGTTATCAATGTCTTTGTCAACCTGGTTTTCGTTATCCACCATATCAAGATGGACCATTTAAAGGTTATGTTATTGAAAAAGCAACACAAGAAGAATATGCAAATAATTTTGATTGTCTAAAAGTTGAATGTACGTATTATATCAATCATATTTTTAGTAATCTATAAGATTTTTGAACAATTTCTTTTTTAGTATATCAACAGATTCCACAAAATTTCTATCAATCAAACATCGAAGTATTTGCTGCACGTACACGTCGATCAGCTGATAATAATACTGATGTATTAAAAAATTCAATCTATCATGATTTAAGTAATGATCCAATTCCACCACCACTCCTTGAATCTGGTATATTTAAATCTTTATTTTCTTTTCGAATTTCATTTTCTCTCGTTTTATTTTATTTAGCCTCAAAAATAAATCCAATAGCAGTAATAGCATCTCCAACATCGTCTTTTCTTAAATCATCTATTTATCAACTTGCTTCATTTTCTGGTAAACTTGTTACAGGTTTTCCTGAAGATCATGAGAAAAAAAGTCGTTCAAAACGTTATGCTTATGAACGTCCAACACGTGTAGCACCTGTAATGCAACTCTATGATCGTCTTAATCGTGATCCAAATCTATGTGAATTAATGACTGAAGATGAATTAACAATGCCAGGCGATGTTTTAAATGATGTTGATATACAATTTGAATCTCAAGCTCGTTTAGCATTAACATTATCACATTTTCTTTCAAGTTTTTATCAAGTTGTTAATCCTGCGGAAGATTTTCCATTACGTAAAGCTGAACTTGAATTAACTGATGAACAATTAATTGGTGAAGTACTTGCTGCAGCTGGTGGTGATTATAAAGTTGTTGGTGTTGGAATATTTTTTGATCGTGGAAAATTTCGAAATTATCGTCTACCTTATTTTGGGCCATATGCTTTTCGACCGGAAAAAGATATTAGTCGAAAATATACTGTTGTTGATTGGGCAGGTTTACCTGATGGTTATGAAAATGAAATATGGTTTCGAGTAAGATAAAAGATTTGAAATATATTCTTATTTAAATTTATTTTCTTAGACAATGAAAGCACGATGGGCAACAAATGCTGATCGTTCAGAATTAACTGAATTTTGGCTTAAATTATTTATTCGATCGGATTATGCAGGTAATGCATTAGTACATCATGAATCTGGTTTTCCATTGTATTCGTATGCACCAGAATTAAAGTAAGAAAATAATTGAAAAAATTTCTATTTTAATAAATTTTTTTAAAGACATGGCCAATGGTTTCCTCCAACATTTCAATGTAGTAGAAATTATACATTACCACGTCAATGGATTGTTACGTATGCTGTACCATTTTTTGGACTTGATACATTGGGTGTTAATCTTGAATTCAAGTAAATATTCAAGATTATGATTATTTATAAAATAAATATGATTGTTATATTATAGGGGTGTTGTACGTGTTGATGCTTATCTTAGTTATTTGGATATTAATCAATGTTCAATGCCTCACTATGTGCCTAATGCATTTAAAGGCAGTGATCGTTGTGATTATCAAAGCACAGTGGTATGATTTACATATATTAGATTCTTTAGTATTTAGAAAGAATAGTTGTATAACAGAAGTACAACATATTGTCAAGAATCACCTATTATGAGAGAAACATAAGATTGAAAAAGATACACGTCATAAAACTTAATAAATATTTTAAAATATCTTGTTCAATAGGCGTTATCAAATGAACATTCATTATAGACGATAGTAGAAGCAGAAACACTGCGTTATAGATTTGTTCGTTACAAATTCAATAGAGCATGTGAAAAAGACATGACGAATGCTCAGATTTAAGTATGAGCTATTCATATATATTTATAACTAAACTTTGCCATTAATTAATAATCTAATTATTATTTGAACGATTTGACTCATCGACTGCATGTCTACAATATCTAAAATCGAATTCCAATAATTCATCACTCATATGAATGTTATTTGATTTTTATTTTAGTGTGAACCAATACTTGGTCGTGGTTTTCGTCTAGGAAAATATAAATGTCGTTGTCGACCTGGTTATGAATATCCATTTATTGATCAAAATGACTTCTTTAATGGTGATGCCATGGATACACAATGGGAAATTTTAATGAGCAATAATTCTCGAATGTCACGTTTTGATCAACTTAAATGTCGTATTGCTATTGCTAGTTCAATCAAACCGCTTAATTTTATACTACTTTTATTAACTGTTTCTTTTGCAATGTTAATCAATCGATAGATTTTTAACTCAAGCGACTATCTATTCTAATGTATATAGAATTTTTCTTTCTTTTTGTGCTCTTCTTTTTGGCGACACATTCCACTGATTATTTGTTTTTTTTATATTGATATGAGCTCACGTATTTTTCTTGTTTTTTGTTAATTGAATCTTCATTTTTTTGTACATTCCATTTTCTAGAATATTATTACTTGCTTATGTAGACATTTTTTTTTATAATTATTCTGTTTTGTAGCGGTGTATTTTTTTTTATCAAAAAAGAATTGGATAGTTAATGACATGAAAATATATATCAAATCATCTTATCGAACTTCAATGTATTAAATCAGTCAACAAATATTGGTATGAACATATAAAGTTCTAACTTTCGATTAATAATACTTCTTAATGATTACTGATTGAAATAATCTATCTTGCTCTATATGATCTTTTGCTTCGATCGAAATTGATAGGCTGCTTCGATTTGTTGAACAGGTCAAAAGATTTTTCTTTAAGTTCAATAATAGGTCAAATGATGACTATACGCAATTTTCTTAATTAAACTTTGGATTGTAATTTCACAATCTAATTAATTTGTTTACAAAAAAAACAAACAAATATAATTTTTTATAATATTCCTATATTGCATAATCAAAAAAACAACAAACTTGCTTAAATATTTTCTTTTATCTTAATTAAACGATAAAAAAAATAGTATTCAATGAATAGATGTGTGTATGGCTTTTCTATTTCCATTGATTCGGAAAACATAGAAAATAATATCTAACTCCATCTGTTTTCTCATTCGATTTGTTTTATTAAAATTAACCAATGAATGATTCTATTTTGTTATTTCAAGTCAAATTAACTAACATTGATCGACGATCTTTTGCCTTTTTTTTTCTCTCTATCTTAGAAAAATGGACAATGATGACGCACATATTGCGGGTGATTTTTTTCTTAATTCATCGACCACTGATACAACACGGCGTAAAACATTTCTCGAACATATTCAACGTATTATACCACGACAAACTATTATTTATATACAATATTGTTTATTACGGATACCATTTGTACTCATATATGATTATTTATTTACAGAAAAATTTTCATCATTATTTGAAAATTTATTCAAAGATTTAACTCAATTTATTGATCATGATAATTATTTATTTATTAAGCCAATTAGTTATTTAATACATAGTCATTTATTTCAATTATTAATACAAGTTACTTTGCGGTTTTCAATACCAGTTCTAGGTAAAATAACTAACTATCTCGATTGAAAGATGTCTAATTTATATTGAGTAAACGTAACATTTGAGCGTTCATAATAAACAATGGATTTTAATACACTCGAATAAATCCTAATCGATTATCAGTATTTATTACAATTAATTGCCAATATACACATACATAAGAATCCATCTTATACTTTGTGTATTTATCAGTACATCTTAGTAGTGATCCAATTATGTTAAAACTTCCTTGTAGCGAATTTCCTTCCTAACTATGTCAAAAAATGTCATACTAAGCTTTTTTTCTATCAAAATAATTTGTCATTTTCTTTCTTTTTGTCTATTAGGATTACTTATATTAATACTTTTATTACTATGTTCTGATAGACGTCTTGTGATATTCTATAGTTATTCTATCTCATTACTTGTTATTTATTTTGATTATCAAATGAGCTGTATAACAGATAACCAATCATCATCATCAATAAATATGTATATTCTTCAATTTTTATTATCTTCTATTTATATTCAAATGCTCAATATACGTCCACGTGTACCTTCATATAAACTACAAACACGTCTATGTCATTTAGCACCATTTGTATTAATAATAACACATTATTTAATACCATCGAGTTATAATATCTATTTATTAAAAATCTATTATTTAATATGGACATTTATACATCTTTCGGAACTATTTATTTATCATCAACAGACAATCATAGATATAATACGTATTCAATTTATACAAGATCTTTATCATTTATATGGAAATTTTGGTTTACAAACATTAATTAATTATTTACAAACACGTATACATATAGTAACATTATTAAAAATATTTTGGTTAACAAAAATTCTTGTTTTACCATTATGTATTCGAACAATATATACAAATCCATATATAGCAAATGTTACATTGAATATAAATACAACAAATTTAAATGATAATATTACATTAGAAAATCAAACTATGACTTATAATCATACTTTAGTAAATACAATTTATTTTACAAGTTTATTTTATGGAACAGAAACAATGTTTACGTAAGAATTTTTTGGATTTATAGAAGTGATATAATGTATTTAAGTTAGTTTAATCCGTATGCTCTATTTCTTCATCTAATCAGCTTGTCTTTCGTTAATACGAGCATGTTTCTGAGAAGTATATCGTGATTTAAAGAGACAGTAAGTGGATCCTATTAGATTCATAAGCATTTGCTAGAATAGATTTCACTTTTGTTCTTCTTCATTTTCAATGATATTATTATATGTTTATTTTTTAGTTTAATTAGTTTGGCATGTTTAATTTCACATATAATGAAGAGTATTTCGCATCGTTTATTTCGTTTATTACATCTTTGGACTGAAGATGTGGAACAGATTGGTACTGTTGTTGGTGTTATGTTTTTTCTTTTATTATTTCAATCAAATATAACACGACTTGATCTTAATCGACGACATGTACCTTTATTGAAAGCATTTAGTTTATTAATTGTTGCACTTTTTCATTTTCTACATACAATTCTTGAACCACAATTACTTAAAGTTGCTATGCAAACGATGACAACAAGAATGGCGTTTACTCAAACCGATGGAAATCAACAAGAAGAAAAAGAAGAAAATGAAAATGAAAAAAAGTAAAGTTTTTACTAAATATATAATTTATAAGACATCAATAACGTGTACATTTAATATATAAATATGATGGATGTATTCATATAAACTTTGATATGCAAATCATTTCAAGATGTATTATACTTCAAATATAGATTAGTGTACAATTTTTTAATTAGAAAATTATATTTCAGGTCTTTTTTATTACATTGAAATCTAATGTTGAGCAGGAATGGGATGAATCACACCTAATTTTGATATTTAGTAGGGTGCATGAACAATTGCCGTTTAATAAAAAAACTTTGTTTAAGATCGTTTCGTACGTCCTCCGTGTGATTATTCTAGAGTTATTTACAAACATTAGATATTGAGTCTATACATTTACTGAGGCCGGTATTACTCATAACATACTATATAGTTTTATCTATTGTGAATAGGTGTGAAACTATCCGTATAATGAAAACCTCTATTTATGCAAGTTTTAATAAAATTTTCAAGATTGAGGAACGTAGTTCTGTAATATATATTGAGACTAACGAAGTGACTCGTCAGTCCTGTATAGATGAAATTATGATCTGACCATCTGATGGCACAAGTCTCAAGCTGCTAGTTAAATTATTCTATCAGATCATTTCACGATTTGCTCCAAATGAAAAACTTCAAGATATTGATAAATTGAAATAAAATTCATGCATAATCTATAAGTTATTCAACCGCTTCTAAGGAAATAAGATTGTTCATTCGTTTAAACTTGCAGAGATAGCGCAACTTTTAGTGATCAGTATATTTGTAGATTACAGTGTCTCTATAAGAAAAAAGTCTCAGTACATCACTTTTTCAGCGAGAAGAGCTTTGAGAAATATAACCGAAACTGTTTATTCGAAATAAATATCTTTAAATTTTGTTTTTTTCTTTAGTATACCATCAACTTCAATATTTTCTACTACTACTCTTCGTTCATACCATCATCGTCATGTTTACACATGTTTATCAATTCTATTCTTAGTTATAACATATATTATTATTCTATGGCGTTTAACAACATTTTCTACTTGGCTTTTAGCTGTAACAGCATTTTCATTAGAATTAATTGTACGTCTTTTAGCATCACTTGCTCAATACACAGTATATGTTCTTGATGCACATAATCATTTAGCAAATGTTGATTTATTCGATGAATATATATTTCGTATAAAAGCAGTAACATCATGTTTTGAATTTATTCTTGGTGTTTTTCTTCTTTTCAATGGTTTTTATATCTTATGTTTTGAATCTCGTGGTGCATTACGTGCACTTATGCTTGCTATACATGCACATTTAAATATAATAAAAAATTTACGTCGTGGTTGGCAAATATTTCGTAATCGAAAATCGGCATGGGATAATGTTAATCAATTACCATTAGCAACAAATGAACAAATTGAAGAATATAATGATATATGTTCAATATGTCATAATACATTAACATCAGGTGTTGCATGTATAACACCATGTTCTCATATATTTCATCAAAAATGTTTACAAAAAGCATTTTATGCAACACAAAATTGTGCTTTATGTTCACGTCCGATTATTATTGAACGAAATTTACATCGAGAATAAAATAAAATAAAAACATTCATGTTCTGTGATGTAAACTCTATTTGTTTTTCATTTATGTTTGAAACAATCGTGCACATTGATGTATTTTGTTTGTTTTCAGATAAAATTATGAACATATTATTGATCATGAATGGCAAAGTACATGTCAAAACAAAAACAATGATTATTTTGGATGAACTTGTTCAATAAATACGTTTGTCTTGTTTTTAAATGAATTCAGAAATATTATATTGTATGAGAAATGTTCTTCAGAATGTATTTCATAAACATGAGGTAAAACAAAGTTATTTAAAGTATAGATGTGTATTTAGTCTAACAAATAATGAGAGCTAGAGGAAATATAATATTGAATTTTATTTTGAAGACTTTTAGCAACACATAAGTCATAAAGCGATGAATAAACTTAGCGAATAGTAGGCGACTTGATCAAGGAAGAATTCGAGATAATTATTTATTTTCTTGTGCCTGAATATTTGAGAAGAACTAATGAAATCGATTAAAGACCCTGCGAATTCGTGTCTTTGTAGATTGAATAATAGACTGCGAAAACGGTTTTTACTATGCATAGAAAGAATAAAGCGTTATAATAGTAGGCTAAAGCTATTTAATTGTTTTGCTGTTTCCAACTTATCAAAATGTGACATAGATCGTTTATTGCAGGAACAAAATAGGCTGTCAATATAAAGCAAATTTATACGTTACTATACGTATAAAACCAAGAACTGACCTTTATGATAAAGAATTTTACTACTCGATAAACTTTGCTTACATTTCTGTATTATTTATATTCAGCAAGAATAATTAGCTTCTTTTTCCGATTTGAGCTTGATCATTATTGTTCGATGAATACTAGACAGCGTGTATTGCAATCGCATAATACAAACGTTGTAAATATTCCTTTTCACACGAATATGTCGGAGTGCAGATGTAAAGAACAGTTTAGAGCAATAAAAACGTGTTATTATACTTCACATGAGATTATAATGTAAGACATTGAATAAGTTTTATGACTCTTAAGAGAATGAGGTGAAATATTCTTATGGATTCAGTGCTATAAATAGTTGTTATGATTCATCAGCCGCAGTCTTCTAATAAGTTTCATCTTTGAAACCACATTGGCTATAGTTAACGGAAGGAAAAGAATATACACTTTATATTGGTCGGAACTATATAGAATTTCTTTTCTAGTTAACTTTTTCGATGTGCAAGATCTATTAAAACAATATTATTCTTATTTAATTGATGACTATCTTATAAATTAAACAATGAACGAAAAGATCTATTTGGCAAATTAATTATTATTTCCAACCACTTGACACTGAAATATTCTCATCAATATTATATTCGATAATACTAATCATTTATTTTCTTTTCAGATTACATATGCTGCGAAAACACAAGATTTTTAATGAATCAAATGTTTTGCTTTAAAATGGTAATATCATTATCTATTATAAAGTTTATTTTTAAAACAAAAAACCTTTATTTTAGGGTCATGGAGTTTCATCTGATACAACCGGTAATTCAATTGTTGAGTCAAATTCAAGTGAACATTATCTTGGACTTGTAAATGTATGTATATTGATAAAATTCATGAATATTATATTCTATCAAATTTATCATTTGTTGTTTTAGTTTGGTAATACATGCTATTGTAATTCGGTGCTTCAAGCTCTTTATTTTTGTAAACCATTTCGAGAACATGTTTTAAACTATCGTTTAACACAAAAGAATAAAAAAGAGAATTTGTTGACGTGTCTAGCTGATTTATTTCATATGATTATAACCGGTAAAAGACGAACTGGAGCATTACAACCAAAAAAATTTATTAATAAATTACGAAAAGAAAATAGTAAATTATTTTTATTCGAAAAAATAAAACAAACTATAATTTATTTTAAGGCACTTTTGATAATGATATGCAACAAGATGCACATGAATTTCTTAATCATTTATTAAATACTTGTGGTGATATTTTAATTGGTATAGAAATAATTATTTTATTTTTTTTTTGAATTATTTTATTTTATTTTAGCTGAAAAAAAAGAAGAAAAAGATAAAATTGATAATAAACGTAATAAAACAAATAATATTATTCTTAACAATAATTCGTTACAAAATAATAGTAATGGACAACATAATCGAATAACAGCTGCAATGAATTTTAATGTAAATAATGATTTAACAACTATTATTGGTTCGTTAGCAGAAGAAACTTGGATACATGAACTGTTTCAAGGCATTCTTGTATCAACAACTAAATGTCTCAATTGTGAAACGGTATTTAAAAAAAAGACTAACATCATTTTTACTAGGGATATACCGAGGTCGGGTTCGGCTGTGGGTGGGTGCAGGTACCATCCTTTTCACTCTCACTCACATTTTCACCCACACCTAGTGTTTTATCTAGGTTTTTCCTTCCGAGAGTGCGATAGCGATTTCCTGGAGGGTAAAATCGATCTCCAGGGGGGGCGGCGCGATCCTTGCCCTCCCTCTAGGTAAATCACTGCCCACACCCACACCCTTTTTTTCAATATAAGACAAATGCATCTAGAGAAACAGTTTATTTTTAATAATTTACGAAAAAAGGCCTTAAGTAATACGAAGAATAACTTTTGCGTAAAAAAACTTAACTTCATATCTTATACGTATAGATAAAACTCATTTGATATTTAGTACTACTTGTTTAATATTCTATTTAATTTTAGGTTAACAGTAAAGATGAAAATTTCCTTGATCTATCGATAGATGTTGAAGAAAATACATCGATAACAACTTGTTTACGAGTATTTAGTAATATTGAAACATTAGCTGGTGAATCGAAATATTATTGTGACACATGTTCAAGTAAACAAGAAGCAACAAAAAGGTTAAATAAATGAAATGTACATATATATTGTTCTAATTTTTCAATTAATAGAATGCGTATTAAAAAATTACCACGTATATTAGCACTTCATTTAAAACGTTTTAAATATTTTGAAGTATTTAAACAATATAAAAAATTATCTTATCGTGTTGTTTTTCCATTTGAACTTCGACTACTTAATACAGTAAGAAGACTAATAGAATTTATTTCATTCATTAAAAATATATTTTTATAGTCAGAAGATTGTACAAATAATGATCGTATATATGATCTTGTTTCATTAGTTGTTCATTGTGGTATTGGTCCTAATCGTGGTCATTATATAGCGGTTGTTAAACGAGATGGTTCTTGGTTGGTTTTTGATGATGAAACGGTTGATGTAAGAAAAATTTCTATTTATTTCATTAATAATTTTTTTTTATTAGAAACTTGATCCGTCCAATTTTGAAGAATTCTATGGTGTTTCTCATGATCTTGGTCGACAGTCAGAAACAAGTTATATATTATTTTATGAAAGTCGCGATGTTTAGTCAGAAACATGACAAATGAACTATTATAAATGCCTTCTTTTCTTTTCTGTATGTGTTAATTCTTACACAAGCAAAATTATAGTAATCAAAGGACAAAAATATTTCAAAAAACAAAAATCAGTTCATTTTATTCTGAAAGAAAAATGACAGATATATGTGTAAATCTAAATTAGCATAAGCTAGCAAAACAAAAAACTTTCTTTTTTTCAATGTACAATGTTTCAATTTTTTTTAGAACGAGTGACATATTAGTTGTTTATATGCATGTTTTGCTTTTCTTTTTGTTCTTGTATAAATCGACTATAGTTATATATACATATATATATATATATTTAAACTAAAAAAATTAGTCTATCTATTTTGTCTCATTTATGCAATATCAAATGTTTGTATTGGAATAATAATTATATGTTGTTTACAGGAAGATCAAACTGTGATCGACTACAACACAAGCAATCTTATATTTCGTCAATCATTTAATTCTTGAAATAATAACTCTCCTATTCATTTGTTAATTATGAAAATAAGAGAATGAATAAAAAAACAAAAT